ATGCTTCTAAAACAACAGTAAAGGCGGAGAAGCGACGTTACCTAAGGGGATTGTTGTTAGCTAATAAAGACTACATGGGTATTTTCTGCACGCTAAATATCCGCACCACGTAAAATGTTGTCTTCCACGCATGCAACGGACGACGTAGCCAGCATTTTTAACAGTGAAAGCAAACATGACCTCAACGCTAGCCGAGTCCTTGAATGGGATGCAGACACCGCAGTAAGCAACTGTCATGCAGCGTAACTACGCATCTTATGGATGCACAGGCACTGAACTTCGCCTTCTAATGCTTTCAGACAATAAATACCTGAGCACTACACCAAATGGTGTACGCAACAAAATTATATACCGTGCAATGCAAGGGGAGAAATAGTTGAAGTGCGGACGAGTACGGACCCAACCACTGCACGTATGTCCCCCGTGCTGCTACCCATATACGGGAGACGCAAAGACATACAGCCGTGGTGGCTCTTAAAAGGGCCGTTGGGTCGTTCACGAAGACACAGATGTTACCCAGCATGGAGCAATAGCAACTGGACGTGTCACGGCGACCTATCATCCCGAGGAGGCGGCAAACGTTGGCACTTCATCTACCAGTTTCCCTGCTCAATGAAAAAAATGTTATGGACGTGTGTACTCACCTGAACCTGTCCTTGCGAAAATGTGGAAAGTGGCTGACACTGCTGCGACGACTGAACGTAGGTGTACACACCTGATTTATGCGGGGAACGGCGTGACCGCACAATCACTTACTAGAGTCCATGAGGAATCCCGTCATGCATGTCATGCGATCGCGTACAATGCCATTGCGGGGTGGACACCAGCAAATACGCGTTGCGCTATGACCTTGTTGGAAGGCAATAGCAGCGGCACATAACCGCGGCAGTGAAACCGATTTAAACACTTGAAACAATGCTTACAGGTGAGTACGTGAAAAGGTAGAATGCAGTGTCGGAGGCCGTTCATTGTGGGTGCCTCAGTGGCGGTGCGACGTTGCGTGCCTGACGGGGACGGATTTCATTTGTTCTGTGAAAGGGGATTGGTTGTGGAAAGGAATGCCCACTTGCGCATACGTGGGAATGTAGCTTCACATGACGGCCGTAATACCGCTGAGGTGCCTCATTTGCGGTGGGGCATGTCAACGCAGAGGGCGGTGCAGTTGCTATTCTCTGTAGCATACACGTCATGATGCTATGCATTACATATGTGTGACTAAATCTCAATGATGCACAACAAGTCCGATGAGATACGTGGAAGGTGGATCAGTAGCTGTGCTAAGTAGAAAGATAATGGGCGGAGCATGTCACTTTCCCTGTTAAACCACATTCATCTTGGGTAAGAACACATTACGCGTTGATCGTGCGCTATATATCCGGTACGCGACTAGACGGCCAACCAACAGCAATAGGTAGAAGACACAAGAGTGAGCTAGGGAAGAAGTTTATTGGACGGGAGGAGCGTCAGCTAATGCTAAAAATAGGACACCCGGTGAGAGCTAGCTAGAGTGAATGTCGTTGGCGTCGAGAGCGTAGACGGAGCGTCGTTCGCAGTCGAGCCGCGCGCCAAAGGCGGAGATCGTTTTCTTGTTTCCAACAAACGGGAACAACGTTCCAACAGGCAAACCGAATGGTTCCCTAATACATAAGAAAGCTATAATTTGAATATTTTAGAATAGTTTACGCAGTCATACGGGGGAATCTCCAGGTCGCTACACAGTCCCCCTCTTAGAAGGGAACCGTAGGTGACCCTTCGATCTACGTGAGGAATGTCCGTCGCCGGCCAGCCTTCTGCGAGACCAGGTAGTAAAACCTGCTGCAGCTGCTGGGGGAGAACCAGGCGACCGGACCCTAGCTGGCTCCCACCCGTGGCCTTCCTAACGGTGCCAATAACACAAAGTGGGGGAAGTTCGTAAGCCTTAAATGTTCGCGAGTTCGTGAAGGTCAATTGTTCGCTTCAGCCTTGGCATCTCCTCGGTTCATACATGGAAGATAAACGGTAACAAAGGTAGTGACGGTTAAGACGATGGCAAAAGCAAGAGTGACAATTACCGGATGTGGTAGGCGTCAAGCGAAACGTAACTCCTTTCATGCGTTTTCAAAACGTTTTATTCCTTTTTGGGTTTTCAGAACGTTTTGTCGGTAGTTTTAGCGTTTTCAAAAGCCTTGGCCGATATTTTTGGGTTTTCTTACGTGGTTGTCCAAAAGGGAAAAGAAAAACTAAAAGGAAAGTGAAAGAACCCCTAATCGCTTAATCGCGCTGGCCAGTGAACGCGTCTACCCGACCTAGTCGACTTGTTCGAATCAGAGGAAGGCGTCGTCTTAGACGTCCTATCGGATCGCAAAATTGGAGGAGCTGCTGAAGACGTGGCAGTTGGTTCGCTGGGAAGCGGTGGAGCTGAAGTAGAAGGCTTGGATGGAGCGTGAAACTTTGGGTCTGGGATGTTGGAAGCAGTGGAGTCTGCCCTCTTAGGCTATGTTGATTCGTCAGAAGACGTGTAAGGGTCTTCGACGAGCTCAGGTTCCACGTGGGCACCCTTGAGACGGTCAGTCGTAACGGCTTTACGTTTACCGTGACGGTCGATGATAAAAACGCGGTCCTTACGCTGCAGGACCTTGAAAGGACCTTTGTAAGGTCACTCCAGTGGTCTGCGGAGACCATCGAGGTGGAGAACAACGAACGAACAATGCTGCAGGTCATGTGGAATAAAATATTTACGTTGTTGTTCTCTAACGTCGGGAAGCTTGTACTGACGCATGCTCGTGGCTAGCTGACGTGCATAATTTACGTCGTAACGGGTAATTCTGGGACTAACGGAGAAGAAATCGCCAAGTAAACGCAGTGGTTGTTCATATACTAACTCGGCGCAAGACGTACGTAGATAGGCCTTTAGGGCTGATCGGATCCCAAGGATGATCATAGGCAGCACGTCAGTCTAACTCAGCGCATTATCGGCGCTAAGTGAGGCTTTCAACTGTTGGTGGAAACGCTCCACCATGCCGTTCGCTTGCAGACGATAGGCGGTCATGCGAATGCGTTGCCATCTAGTGAGTTTAAGGAGATCGTTAAAGGTCGTAGATTTGAATTGCGGACCGTGGTCTGTAGTCACTGTGGCTGGACAGCCGTGTGAGGAGACCCAGTGTTCGACGAAGTCGCGTGTTACGGTTTCCGCAGCTACGTCAGGGATGGGCACAGCTTCGCGCTAACGGGTACAACGAGCTATCACGGTCAAAATGCAGGCCATTCCTTTGGACGGTGCCAGAGGTCCCACTAAGTCGAGATGGACATGGGGAAATCGCGCTGAAACGGACGGAAATCGACCAAGCGGAGCGTACACGTGCCGTTGAATCTTGGCTTGTTGGCAGGTGAGACAGCTGTTTGCCCAGCGCGTAAGATCGCTTTGCTTCCCCGGCCAAACGCATCCCTCAGATACAAGCTTAGCAGTAGCTTTAATGCCTGGGTGGGCGATATTGTGGAGGGTGTCGAAAACGATACGGCGGAAAGTTTCTGTAAGGACGGGTTGAGGTCGCCCAGTAGATGTGTCGCATAAAATGGTACCATCAGATGACGGCAAAGGATGCGGAGGTATCTGCAAAGAAGAACCGCAAAGTTCCGAAAAACTTTGGTTATTGGATTGCGCGGCGGCCATAGCAGACAAATCGATTGCCAGCCCGACAGGGCCAATCGTAGATACTCTTGAAAGTGCATCAGCAACGACGTTTTGTTGACCAGAAATAAATAAATAAATAAATAGTATATTCTCTGTAAAACGAGACACACCTCTAAAAGGCATGATCAAATATGCATACAAGCACAGCTTCTTTGGAATATTAAAACATTTCGTTACAATGAAAGGAATAAACGAAAAGATGTAGTCCATAAGAGCGAGCATATTGTCAGGTAATAGTCAGACCAAGGATCATAATGGCGCTGTGGCGCGCAAAAACTGTTGCGTCAAGATACAAGTGGGGGGGTAAATTTGATATGTAGTGATCCATGAGCACAGGAGCCCGAACAAGGTTTAGTGCAATCAATGACCGTTACGAAGCCGGGATGATCGGCACTCCACTTAAGCATTCTTCATAGTAAAATCAGTTGCACAGGTTCGATGTTGGAGGCTGAGGACTGCGTCAGTGTGAAAGATATAGCAGTGACTTTATTTTGTGGCGAGTCACATCCGCCACGTTGCAGTGTTGTTAAGCGGACATTTGTGGCTTTTTATAGGGAGATCGCTTGCCAGGCGAAAACCCACCACGTCCTGGAACACTGTCGTAGCTTCCGTTGAACTGTAGTGTTAGTCGGCTATACATCATATAGACCGATTTTGCACTCTATTATTCGCAGTCGGTTGACAGCCAAAATTTTTCGTTGGTTGGCCATCTGGCTTAGTACTGAACTGGCAATAGTCGATGAAGCCAGTCAATGATGTAAAAGAGTCGCTGAGTCGAATGATAATGATGCGGGTGAGTAACCACATTGTTAATAGAGGCCGGCTTTTTCTATTATATTGTCCGGCTCGCAACCCGTGTTCAGCTATCCATGCTGGACTTGTCATTGGGACGATGAGTGCAGTTGTTTCTTGTGTCTGAATATGTCCAAAACAGGAATAAATGCTATTCTCCGCGAAGTGGACAAGTATTTCCTTCATATGTAAGTGTAATTGTCTCCATAACCAAGTGAGAGCTCCAGGAAAAATCATCGGAAAAGCCGCTTATGCGCGCGCTGTGCTGTCCGTGAAATGACATCAGAAAAGCTCTAGGTGACTGGAGAATCGGAATGTTTGAGGCAGTGAATGTAATCACGCCAGAATTGTCAGTCTCCGGTTGTGGAACAGTGGATCCATGTAACTACATTATTCCAGGTGAGTAAATTGTTCTACTGTGAGTACGAGGCGAGCTAAACCCATTTGTTTAGACCCTGTGGTGGTAGCTTCTCCAGAATGGCGGAAAGAGCTCCATTTGGAACGATGTGTGGGTTCCTCATCTCCCGGAGGAAAGAACAATGTGTTGGATATCAGTCGAGAATTGGGCAATGAAATCCGGCTGACGAATCTCACTTGGTGATTGCCGAGCTGATTGATTTCGGAATGCGTAGGTAAGCGGCTTGTGATCGGTGAAGATAATGAAAGTGTTACCTTCGAGGACGTGTCGGAAATGTCGAACGGTAGAGTAAACGGCTAGCAGTTCGCGACTGAACGCGCTGTACTTAACTTCGGCAGGTTGTCGACGTCTAGAAAAGAAAGCAAGAGGTTTCCGGCCTCCATTTGTATGTTGATGTAGGACGGTGCTAATGGCGGTGTCCGATGCGTTGACAGCAACACTGAGCGGGGCGTTCTGATCGAAGTGATGAAGCATAACGGCTTTAGCTAAGACTTCTTTGCTGGCCTTCTATGCTTTGGCAGCAGCAGCAGTTAATTCCACCTGGCCGTTTTAACATCCACGAAGTAGATCGGTTAGTGGACTTAGCAACTTTGCAATGTGGAAGAAAACGTCGATAGTAGTTGCGCATGCCGTTAAAACGGCGAATAGCGTCTAACGTTATCGGAACCGGAAAGTCTCTGGTGGCGCAGATTCTATCGTCTAGAGGCGTATACCATACTGATCAATATGGTGGCCAAGGAATTCGACGGAAGGCTGCTTAAATACGCATTTGTCAGGGTTGACAGTGATGCTATTAGCGGCCAGCCTATCGAAAAGTATTTTGTGATGTTCTGCGTGTTGTTCTTTAAAAGCACTGGCAACTAGGATATCGTCGATGTATGCATAGACGAAAGTTAGACCTCTAGTGACTGAATCGATGAGTTGTTGAAAAGTCTGCGCTGCGTTGCGAAGACCTAACGGCATACGCAAAAATTAGAACAGCCCAAACAGCATGCTTACGGCAGTCTTCGGTACGTCTTCCTCAACGACTAGAATCTGGTGGTACGCACGAACCGGATCGATTTTCGAGAACACAAGGGTGCCGTGCAGGCTTGCCGTGAGGTTCTGAATGTAAGGAATCGAATACCGGTCGGGAACAGTAACGCTATTGAGCGCGCGGTAATCACCGCATGGACTCCAGTATCCTGACTTTTTGGGGACCATGTGGATCGGTGACGCCCAGGGACTTTTAGACGGTCCAACGATGCCTAATTCAAGCATGTGCACGAATTCTGCGCGGGCAATTCTCAACTTGTCAGGGGTCATTTGCTTGGCATTGGCAACAACAGACGGACCTTTCTTAACGATGTGGTGTTTCGCAGCATCAATGGAGGATGAAAACGGTGCCATTGAACGAAAGACCTGTGGGAACTTGGTATTAAGCATCTGACCGATAGGCGAGCTTGACAGGTTGGCGTATACAGGACTGATTGACTCTATGTCGGTCAAAGTACCTATAACTGCCAGGTTTGTTTGACGGTCGATCAGATGGCCTTGCTTCGCGTCAACAAGCAAATCGAAGTGCTGCAGGAAGTCAAGGCCAAGAGTTGGCGTCTGGACATCTGCGGCGAGGAAGATCCATTTAAATGAACGTCGTAGGTTTAGATTAAGCGTGCGCGAGCGTTGTTCATTAACGCAAATGGTGGTGCCGTTTGCTGCGCGCAATGCACCGGTCGCCTCTTTGATATCATTAGAATCACGTGGGATAACGCTGACATCTGCGCCGGTTTCAACGAGATAGCGTACTCCCATACTGCGATCGGTGACAAAGAAAAGGCGACTGTGGCAGCCAGCAACGTCCGTCGCCCCTACGTGCTGGCCTACCCGTTTCCCTGCGCGTTGCGCTTGAAGGAACAAGGTGGGCGATACGCTCTCGCCTGATGACCAAATCGCTCGTGGTACCAGCAATAGCTTGACCTAGGGGAGATCTCGCACGTGATCTAGGAGGACTTCGACTACTGGAACGATTTCGGCGTTTGGATCCGGATTGTGTTAGCTTCTCTAGTCGGTTGGTCAATGCGGCTACTTGCGTTCTTAGTTCTGCTACCTCTGTACTGGAGGTAGACTGAACCTGAGATATTTGGGCGTTGGATTCCCGAATACGGTCAGCAATATCGGCGAGCTGAGGAAGAGGCGCATCGTTTGCATACAATGGATTGCGCATGTCACGTGGCAGGCGACGAAGCCACATTTCTTTAACGGAAGAGTCGCCAACAGCGAGAGGCTTAGCAAGAGCCTGCATCATGTGCAGCTACTGCGAAGGCTTTCGATTACCTAGCTCGGTTTCGTTGAGAAGTTGCTTAACACGAGCATGGTCTGATATGCCAAATCGCTAAGACGACGGCCTTAGGCTCATCAGAACTATGCTGATGTCCCGAAAGTTCCAAGATGTCGTCGAGGTCATCTACGGCTTGCGGGGGAAGTGCTGCGACAACGCAGTGAAATTGGACACTGTCAGAATGAACGCCATGTAACGAAAAATTGGACGCTAGCTGGTTAAACCAAGTCTTAGGGTTAGTATCATGGAAAGGCGGGATAAGCAAACGGAACGCACTAACCTGGTCGTCAGAAGGTGAGTGAATAACCTTCATGGTGAAAAATTACGGCGTGTGAAAATGAATGCAAGTAGTAAAAAGTAACAGTAGAAGGGTAGACAGAACAATTTACTGGATCTGAAAAGTAATATTAGTGCCGAGCTCAACAAAATAGCTTTTTTCGGGGTCACCAATTACAGCGCGTTGATCGTGCGCTATATATCCGGTACGCGACTAGACGGCCAACCAACAGCGGTGGGTAGAAGACACAAGCGCAAGCTAGGAAAAAACCTTATTGGACGGGAGGAGCGTTAGCTAATGCTAAAAATAGGACACCCGGAGAGAGCTAGCTAGAGTGAATGTCGTTGGCGTCGAGAGCGTAGACGGAGCGTCGTTCGCAGTCGAGCCGCGCGCCAAAGGCGGAGATCGTTTTCTTGATTCCAACAAACGGAAACAACGTTCCAACAGGCAAACCGAATGGTTCCCTAATACATAAGAAAGCTATAATTTGAATAGTTTAGAGTAGTTTACACAGTCATACGGGGGAATCTCCAGGTCGCTACACACTTACCTGGGAGGATGTATTACCAAAGGTTCACATGGCGGAGGCGAAGCGTCGGAAGTGGCTAGGTTGCGGTACAAATTTGGCGGGCAATGGCGGCGCATGTCACTTTCCCTGTTAAACCACATTCATCTTGGGTAAGAACACTTACCTGGGAGGACGCGGTACCGAAGGTCTACATGGCGGAGGTCAGTGAGCGTCGGAGATCGCAAGTGGCAGGTGGCTAGTCAATGGGCGAGGCATATAGCTTTGCCTGTTAAAGAACCTTCCTCATGCATACGAACTTTTATATATAGATATATATATATATATCAGCTTATGAAGCCAACCGCGTAATTGCATTCGATGAGCATCCGAGATCCCACGTATGCGGCCGCAACGCCTAGCCTTGTCCGCGTTCACATGGTACCGGCAAAACGGCACCCTCGCGTTGGGATAGAAACTTCGAAACGCCCGCAACTAAGTAGCACATCTATCCAGCACCACAGAGCGGCAACGTATGCTGCTAGGCACCATCTCTCGCATCGCCTCCACCGCTTGCCCGTAGCTGTGGGACGTCTCATCAGGTAATAGGGCGTAGAAAAAGGAAATCACTAGACCTGTGTCGTCCACGAACATGCAATGTCACAAAATGCAGCCACCATAATTTAGTTGGTGCGTCGCATCACATAACACAACCACTTCATAACGCTTCACAATGCCACGAACTACGGATGGAGAGAAGAAGACATAACGAATCTGACTGCCCTCCGACACCAATCGACAAACACCGTGCCTTTCCAACATTGTTGCCACCTCCGACACTTCACATGCGGTTGCATATCGATGACGAAAGCGCAAAGTGCTGAGGTCCAAACGGGTTACACGTTTGCCGTGCTCCTGATAGATGAAGCGCCGCAAATCAGGAGTGCTATGGAAACTGCCATCAAACGTAGAACTTCTTTCCTTGACTCCGAGAAAGCCCACGGTTGCGTGCAAACAAAGAGGGGTTACCAATTGAAAATCATAACTATGCACCATGAAGTAACTTCGCACGACATATTTTCCTTCCTTCCAAACCACGGAGAATCTCGCCTCGCAATTGTAGGATTTGTATCGACATGAGTTAGTATACATGTTGCATAAATATTAACTTACCACTTGCCACGCCATTCTGAACGTTCACCATGTAAGCAACAGTACATAATGTAACCGTATCCATCCCTATGGAGGAACAGACAAGGAAAACAATCAGTCAGTTAGGTTTACCTCACATATAAAATATTCTGATGCGCCAAAGCGTCGGACGACCGTAATTCGCGAGGTATGCCGAAGTGTACGTTTAACTGGAGTCCGATCGTGAATCGAGCAGGCAGCGACGCGCAAAATCACAACAATCCAGCAGGCCAAACACTCGTCTCCTGGCTGTGTGGATGCTCTCACAGACTACCTACTACGGGAGGCATATGCCTCCCGTTGTAGGTTGTCTGTGAGAGCATCCACACAGCCAGTGGACGAGTGTTGTGCCGCTGGATTGTTGTGATTTTGCGCGTCGCTGCCTGCTCGATTCACGATCGGACTCCAGTTAAACGTACACTTCGGCATACCTCGCGAATTACGGTCGTCCGACGCTTTGGCGCATCAGAATATTTTATATGTGAGGTAAACCTAACTGACTGATTGTTTTCCTTGTCTGTTCCTCCATAGGGATGGATACGGTTACGTTATGTACTGTTGCTTACATGGTGAACGTTCAGGATGGCGTGGCAAGTGGTAAGTTAATATTTATGCAACATGTATACTAACTCATGTCGATACAAATCCTACAATTGCGAGGCGAGATTCTCCGTGGTTTGGAAGGAAGGAAAATATGTCGTGCGAAGTTACTTCATGGTGCATAGTTATGATTTTCAATTGGCAACCCCTCTTTGTTTGCGCGCAACCGTGGGCTTCCTCGGAGTCAAGGAAAGAAGTTCTACGTTTGATGGCAGTTTCCATAGCACTCCTCATTTGCGGCGCTTCATCTATCAGGAGCACGGCAAACGTGTAACCCGTTTGGACCTCAGCACTTTGCGCTTTCGTCATCGATATGCAACCGCATGTGAAGTGTCGGAGGTGGCAACGATGTTGGAAAGGCACGGTGTTTGTCGATTGGTGTCGGAGGGCAGTCAGATTCGTTATGTCTTCTTCTCTCCATCCGTAGTTCGTGGCATTGTGAAGCGTTATGAAGAGGTTGTGTTATGTGATGCGACGCACCAACTAAATTATGGTGGCTGCATTTTGTGACATTGCATGTTCGTGGACGACACAGGTCTAGTGATTTCCTTTTTCTACGCCCTATTACCTGATGAGACGTCCCA